TTTACAGCAATAAATGCCTACATCAAAAAAGTAGAAAAACTTGAAGTAAACAAACTAATGATGCATGTTAAAGAACTATAAAAGCAAGAGCAAACCAAACTCAGAGTTAGTAGAAGAAGTAATACGTATCAGAGCAGAAATAAAAGAAACTGAAACAAATACAAAAGATCAATGAAGTGAAAAGTTGGTTTTCAGAAAAGTTAAATAAAATCAACGAACCATAAGCCAGACTAACAATAAAAAAAGACCTAAATAAATTCAGAGGTGAAAAAAGAGTTATTACAACTGATACTACAGAAACTCAAAAGTTCATTAAAAATACTATTAGCAATTATAGTCCAATAAATTAGAAAACCTAAAAGAAATGGACATACAACCTACAAAGATTGAACCATGAAGAAATCCAAAACCTGAATAGACCAATAGCAAGTAATGATATCAAAATGATAATAAAAAGTCTCCCATCAAGGAAAAATTCAGGACACAATGGCCTTGCTGCTGAATTTTACCAAACATTTAAAAAAACCCAATACCAAATTTACTCAAATTATTCCATAAAATAGAGGAGGAAAGAACACCTCCAAACCCATTCTGTGAGGCTGGTATTACCCTAATACAAAACTAGACAAAGACACAACAAAAAAAGAAAAGTAAAGGCCAATATTTCTGATGAATATTGATGCAAAAATATTCAACAAAATACTAGGTGACTGAATTCAACAGCATATTAAGAAAAGACCATTCATCAAGACCAAGTGGGATTTATCCTGGGGATGCAAGGATGGTTCAACATATGCAAATCAAATTATACATCATGCAACAGGATGAAGTACAAAAACCATATGATCGTTTCAATTGATGCTGAAAAAGCCTTTGGAAAATTCAGCATTCCTTCATGATAAAAACCTTCAAAAAACTGGATGTAGAAGGAACATAACATGACACAATAAAAGCCATATACATACTGAATGGGAAAAAACTGAAAGCTTTTCCTCAAGATCTGGAACAAGACAAGGATGCTCATTTTTACTGTTGTTATTCAACATAGTTTTGGAAATCCTAGCTAGAGCAATCAGACAGGAGAAAGGGATAAAGGGCATCCAAATTGGAACAAAAGAAATCAAATTATCCTTGTTTGCAGAGGATATGATCTTATATTTACAAAAACCTAAAGACTCCACCAAAAAAAATAGAACTGATAAATTCAGTAAAGTTGCAGAATGCAAAATCAACATACAAAAATAAGCAGAATTTTTATATGCCAACAGTGAACAATCTGAAAAGAAAATCAAGGCTGGATGTGGTGGCTCACGCCTATAATCCCAGCACTTTGGGCGACCGAGGTGGGTGGATCACTAGAGGTCAAGAGTTCAAGACCAGCCTGGCCAACATGGTGAAATGCTGTCTCTACTAAAAATACAAAAATGAGCCGAGTGTGGTGTCGCATGCCTGTGATCCCAGCTACTTGGGAGGTTGAGGCATGAGAATCGCTTGAACCCGGGAGGTGGAGGTTGCACTGACCCCAGATTGTGCCTCTGCACTCCAGCCTGGGTAACAGAGTGAAACTGTGTCTAAAAAGAAAAATGTAGTCCCATTTATAACAGCTAGAAATAAAATAAAATACTTGGGAATAAACTTAACCAAAGAAGTGAAAGAGTCTATAATGAAAACTGTAAAACATTGATGAAACTGAAGAGGACACAAAATGGAAAGATCTTCTGTGTTCAAGGATTGGAAGAATCAATATTATTAAAATGTCTGTACTACCCAAACAATCTACACATTCAGTGCAATCCCCATCAAAATACCAATGACGTTCTTCACAGAAATGGAAATAATAATCCCGAAATTTATATGGAACCACAAAAGACCCAGAATAGCCAAAAGTCATCTGTGAAAAAAATGGAGAAATCACAGACTACTTGTGTGCTTGACTGTTCAATGCCTGCAATAAGTTTTCTGACAATGAAAACTACTTTACTTCATTTCTATTTTATTTTAATTAGTGATATTTAATATTTTATTTTTGTCATTTGTTTCTATCACTAATTTTAATAGGCAGTAAGAATTTTCTGACTAAAATAAGTTAAATGTGTGATTTTAATGAAATATCAATTAGACTCAGGGACATAGATACAGGGATGCGAAGATGTATAATAAATTTCCTCAAAAGTTTCTTCGTATCTCAGTTACTGCTGAGTGATCATGACATGCTTCCCATCTGAGGTCAGCTAAAGGTTTCAACTCTGCACCCCAGGGAGGGGTGAGAGTTAAAACCCATTTACCATTCTTATACTAAATGAACCAGATCCCACCTACTCTCATATAATCAAAATACCTGGAGTATAACAAAAAATATATGTTTTATGCAAGGTAACATTTTATCTGAGATTATACAATGTGAAATATCTTGCTTTCCTTATTCCTTGCAAATATAATAAGTGGTGCTCATGGAAAAGTATCAGGACATAAGAAATAAGAACTATTATATGCTCTATGAATAAGGTATTTTATTTACACTGGATTTAGAATAGTATAATAAAGACACACTTGGTGATGGCATGATTACAAAGTACTTTTACTGATTCAAGTTTTATGTTACTCTTAAAAAAACACCAAAAACAATTTCTTAAGTGATTTTGTTTAGCTGCTTCCCTACAAGGAATTGGATAGTAATCCCATTTTACTTAGATACATTTCCTTAGATCTTTTCCAAGTTTCAGTAATGTATGCCTTCAGTTCACGTGAAATATCACTAGGTGACCAACTTTCATAGCATTGCATGTGTCAATTCACTCAACACGCATTTTGCATCTTCTATACAAAGATGATTAAGGCTTGGTCTTTTGGGGAACTCAAAATTTATATGTATACAAATAATCACTATCTAATACCTACAAATATAGATATGAAGGAGCACAGACAAGAGATTTGGAGGATTTGAGAAAGTCTTCAAAAGAAAGAGATACTTAATTTGAGTCTTGAAAAATTTGCAAGAGCTCACTACTCATAGGAAAAGATGAAAGGGGCAGCCTGGGCAAAACATTTAAAAGCTTCCAGGCAAAAAGCCTTGAAAGCATAGAAAGACAACATGTATTTGGGAATTATATTGAAAGAAGAGAACAGTACAGGGCAGTACAGAACAGTACAGTGCATTTTTTAGTTTGTACAGAGCACAATGAAGGGTTTCATTAAAAGCAGTGGCATTAGTAATGAAGATAAGGCCCTTCTAAATAGACTTTTTCAAAGTGATTTGATAAGACTTGGTGATCAAATGTAGTACTAGGAGGAGATGAGGTTGATCGAATAATCAAAGATGATTTGATATTTTCATCTCAGGTTACTATCTAGAATATAATGATAGTCATTGAAATGGAGAATGTAAGAGAAAGAATATTTGGGGTAGTAGAAAGGAAAACCTTACTTGAAAGAGATACATTAGGTTTTAAATATGTTAATATTGAGATTATCAAGTAAAGGGCTGAGAGATCTAGATTCAGCAGGTAGCTGGAAATGGAGTTTAGGAGCTTGGTATGGCCTGTAGGTTGTGTTATGGGAGACACACTGGAATCACTGAAGCAGAGACAAGGTCGGTAAAGTTGTTGGGCCCGTTAGATAAAAGTTCAAGCTAGGGTAAAAAAAGCTGATGGCAGGACTTAGATAAATAATTGCAACTCAAAATATGATAAGCAAGAGACAACAATGAGGAGAGGACAAATACAGAGGATAGGATAAGGCAGGTGGTTAAAAACCTGAGCAGATAGGCAGAAACAATGGACTTTGTGGAAACTAAAAGGGCAGGGCAGAATAGCCAAGGTAACAGATTCAAGGAAGTCACAAAATGTAAACAAATTAAGCAAGAGATTTTGCCAGTCCTGGAGCTTATTGCAGAAGCAAGAACCTATTCCCAAGCATTTTGACTTGCGGCTTCACTCAGATCTATTATTGAAAATACTTCTGAAGAGTAAGGAATCACATTAGAGATAAAGCTGTTCTCGAGTAGCTGCTGTGATAATTATATTTCATACAAGTGTATCTTCCTATGCCAGAGCAAAATCTATCTTACTCTTTGGATATTGAAGAATGAAACACTCAAATTACAAAAACTGTAATTCTCTCTTTCCTCCCTCCCCTCCTTCCTTCCCTCCTTTCTTCTTTTCCTTTGTTGCTTAATTCTCTTTTCATTATTTTACTCATTTTCTCTTTTTCTCTTCCCTTCCTTCCTTCTTTCCTCGCTTCCTACTGTCCATCCTTCATCCCTTTGTCCTTCCTTCCATTATTTTGTCTCTGATGAAGAAAAGATCACTTAGAACCTGTTGTATGTTGAGTTAAGCATCTAAACATTATAGAGGATATTTTGAAGTCCAAATATTTTCCAGTGTAGGAAGAAATATCTTACTTATCATGGCTAGTAAATATTTCCTTCTAAAAATGAGTAAAACTAAAATTAAATTACATTCATGTGATTTTGACTCTTGAACATATCAGCACTGTATTAAATGGTGTCTTTAAACTTTTTGATGTGGTTACATGGTTAGCAATTAACTTAAATGGGAAATGATTTAACTCTCAAGTATGGGGCTGGAAGCAAACAGAAATATAGGATTGGCTTTATCATTGTATACCTTTTAACTTAGAAAGCTTCAGTTCCTGAGGTTGAAAATATAACTCATTTTCTGCTGCCCATTTTGTGATTTTTATGGATTCCTTATTTTTAACTTGGTAACTTTTATAAATCATTGAGCTATTTCTTATAAAAGTTAAATCTAAGATTTTTTAAGAATGTAAACAGAAAGGTTAATAAAATATTTGATAATAGCATTCTCTGGTTCTAACAACATTATTATTGATTTTTTTCTTATTTTCTTATTTACTTGTAAATAATTAAAATTGTTTCAGCTGAAATATTTGTGCAGTTCTAGCCTTTTGTACTGAACATCATTTCACAAGGGAGATTTTGGTAAATCTTGTTTGGTTGAAACACATTGTTGTTACTTTAGGTGCTGACTATTCTGATGCGGAGTTTCCAATTGCCTTGATTAAAGTAGAAACATTCTATGGCTTGGATGACTTACATTTCAAATTGGTTTGAGCAAGATGATTGGTATGAAGGACTGCAAAGAGTAAGATATATTTATTTGTAATTACGATTTTGTGCCATTTTTTTTTCTGCTTTTCTTCTCATGTAGTTCTATTTCTGCGTGATTTATATTGTGGACGTTTTTGCCTTGCAAAATTCTGAGCGTGAATAAGACACTTGTTTGCTAGTTTTAAGGCAGAAGTAAGAATATAATAAGTGTAACTATATATTGAAGAAAGGGCATTTTTTTCTATCGTATTTTCAGATGAGTTTGTAATGTTTTGAAATTATCTTAGACTTTAAATATAAAATAACATTTTATATATTGAGATTAATATATGAAAATAGCAGTAATTTCAAGCACGTCTTTCCCATAAAGAAAATCATTTAATGAAAGAGAAGATAAATGTATGCTGATACTATTTATTATACAAATATTTGAAAAGGAAAATAAAACAATTCTGAAGAAGAGTGCCATGTTGCATGTGTTAAATTTTTAGGCAGTTAATTACATTTGAAACTGCATTGTTAGTGTGAAAACATTTACATAGTATTTTGAAAACAGTATTCTGACCTGTTATAACAATAATAGAAAAAATGCTATTTAAAATGTACCTTGTCACATGGATTTATTCTAGAATAATATATGATTTCTCTTTGATTATTTTCACTTTTTAAATTTCTTGATTATTTAAATGAAGACAATTTGTGTATTTTTATTTTATTAATTAGTGGGACAAAAAAGCCAGAGTATATGCTATTTTACTAGATTTTTCACCACTGTTGTTCAAGAGCATAGGCTGCCAAAGATATACAGTATTTTCTTTTTCTTTTTCTTGAGATTCCCATCCTAAGCACATTAATTACAGATATTTTCTCAGTATTACTTCTTTTTAGTTATAAATCCTCAACCATTTGAAGCCTTTTGTACTTTTTTTTCCAGATGCTTTTTTTGTAAGCTGTGAAAACATCTGGTAAACATTTCTGGAGCCAGTAAATATCTAACTCTGGAGAATAATCCTCATATTGTAAATCCTAAAGCGTTCTTCAGAAAAGGAGTTGAGACTTAATGAGCAGTTTGCCATCCTGAATTTCAATTTCAGGTATAAATGATGGAACTATTTTAGCTTATGAGTTTAATAGTAATACTCCAAGTCCCACTTACACACACACACAACACACACACACACACACACACACTGCCGGTATCCTTGTTTGTATTGTATGCAGGAATGGGAACTGATTTTAAGAAAAATGCTTTTTAATGAAACGTGTTTCCTTAAAATGACTTTGGAGCAGCTCATGGAGATTATGAGAATTCAAAATCTTTCCCTTCTTGCCCTTTATACTACTATGGGCCTTTATAAATGAATGCCTGGTTTTGAAACGTATTAAAAGTGCAGCTGCTGTTAAAGTATAGAAATAGATTGACCCTAAAATTACTATCTTATTGTGAGTTTGAGCTCCTTCTGGCTTAAGTATTGACCAGCTCTCATACGTATGTAGATGGAAATGAAAGCTCCTATTCTGATTGAAAAAAATTGACACATGAATATTGACCTTAATTTCTTTCAGAAATCCAGCTTATGCCCTCCTGGTGCTTACCACAGGCTGTGTTCTTACACTGAGTGTATAGAAAGAGAAGGTAGAATAAACCTACCCCATATATGCTTCAGCCCAGGACCTGTGCCTGGTCTGTATTGTGAATCGGGGAAACATAGAATTGAAAAAAAGTTCGGTGTATTATTTTTCATTTGTTATTTGTATATGCATATATATTTGTTATTTGTATATGCATATATATTATATATAATAAGCATTCAGCATAGCAGATTTTTAAAGTTGTTTTTTAGAATGTTCACAAGAAGAGGTAAGTTGTGTTTTTGAGTTAAAAATTGTAAATTAGAAATGTAATGTTTGGAAAGTCACATACAAGTGCGAATTTGATTTTTAGAGCACTAAGTTGACGTTTGTATTTTGACATAATTACATAATTAGTATTTATGGCATGTGACTATGTTTATACAAACACATATATATGAACTTTAGTTTTATAATTTTTGTTATGATTATTTTATATCATAATAATCTTACATATTTAAAAGCGAGTTTTATTACCTGTGCCAAACTAATGTAGATATATCCTTATCGCTTTCTTTATTCACTTTGCGAAAAGCATCTTCACCATGTATTCCCTATTGAACCTAAGAATAAATTTAATATGATTATTTTTTGTGTATGTGTGTTTCATATGGTATGAGATTGAATCCAAAAATACAATTTGAGTTAAACAACAACAACAAAAATATATCATTGCAAAGGCTATAGTTGCCAGACGACTGATGTTGTCAGTTCTATGTGGGGTGACACAATGCTCAGAGTTTCTTCCTAAATCCATTATAAATCTGCATTATTCAGTGAGCTACAGTGTTTAGTACTTCATTGGCAAAGTGTGTGTGTTGTTTCTGGGCCAAAAAGATTGTATATTCTGAAGCAACAAATCTTTGAAATAGACACGAAAATTCTTGAGTGGTTCACATATTAATGAAACATTCTAAAGTAAGGATAATAAAGGCTTTGTAAAATATTTATCTGCAATATATTACCTGTCTAAATGTGTTTATTTACCTTTAAATGTGACATATTTTGTAGAATTTATATTTAAAATATAAATTTATATTTTGAAATGGACTTTCAGTGGACCATTTTCTGTTTTTAGTAATGCAGAATCATGATTGAGTAACAATTGATGCTGACTACAAAGATAACAAAAGGCTCTGGACATTTTGTTTCATCTCCTTGGCAATTGTAGATATAATTTAATTAAGACTGCATAATTATTGCATATCTTTTTTAGTCCTTTTGAAAAGAAATCTAGAAATTCACGTATTAGACTTTGCTTGAATACATAATTCAGACTTTAAATGCAATGATATTTATATATTCGATAATGTATGATATGCTTTTTATCTTTTATTTAGAATCATAGATTTTTTAAAATATCTATTGTTTTGAAATATCTATTTTGTTTTGAAATATCTATTCTGTTTGTCCTATTTATTATTTTAATATCTGGTTTAGCAAGTTATTCAACTCTGAATTTCAACAGGATTTAAGTTGTTGGATTGTAAGACCTGTAAAAGCTATTTAAGATCAAAGGTACACCAAATTTTATGTCAACATAGAAATGCTTATATTATCTAATTTTGGCAACTAAAAAATAATAAATCAAGATATACTCTTAAAGTCAAAATGTGTTGGCACAAATTTAGAACTTTCTTTTTGTTTTTAATAAATAAGCAGAGAAACTGCTGGTTTCTAGTTCAGCATGAAAGCAGCTTAGAAGTTGCTACTCCATTTTAACCAGTAAAAAATTGAACACTTTGAAAAATCAACAACTCTTCCTAGATCCACCTGAGAAGTAAGGGCACAAGGCAAATCACTGCCCTCAAAATGATTGAGGTAGAAATGCGGTTGCAGAGAATCGCAACTTACCAGAGCAGAAATCAATTAGCAGAAACCAACCTGGGCTTCGCTGCCAGAGTAAGAAAATCTGAACTGTAACTGATAAATTGATGGAAGCACAATATGGTCAAGTCTGAGAGTTAAAAACTTCACAGGAACCCAGTGGTGGGAGTGGTGGGGGAGCTTTTGTACGTTTTACTTCCAGGAGCTCTAAACTGGTACTCATAGTGAATATTAGAGAAGAATATCCTCTTGCTTCCAACAGCGGGAGGGGAAAGGAAACCACTTAATTACACTAGAGCTTTCTGTTCTTTATTTTTAACCAACTTTTAAAATAATTCGTATAAAATTGTGGAGTACAAGTACAATTTTGTTACATGCATAGATTGCATAGTGATCAAATCAGGGCTTTTAGGGTATCCGTCACCTGAATAATGTACATTGTACCATTCAGTAATTTCTCATCATCCACCCCTCTCACTCCTTCACACTTTGGAGTCGCCCTTGTCTAACATTCCACTTTCGTGTCCACATGTACACGTTTTTTTACTACCCACTTATGAATGAGAGCATGTGACATGTGACTCTTTGTGCATGGCTTGTTTCCCTTAGGATAATGACCTCCAGCTCCATCCATGTTGCTGCAAAATACATGATTTTTGATGGCTGAGTAGTATTCCACTGTGTATATATACTACATTTTTGTTATCCAGTCATCTGTTGATAGACACTTAAGTTGATTCTATAGCTTTGCTATTGCAAATAGTGCTGCAATAAACATATGAGTGCAGGTATCTTTTTGCTATAATGATTTATTTTCCTTTGGGTAGATACACAGTAGTAGGATTACTGGATCATATAATAGCTCTAATTTTATTTATTTGTGAAATTTCCATACTGTTTCTCATAGAAGGTGTATTAATTTACATTTGCACCAACAGTGTATGAATTCTCTTTTCCCCACATCCTCACCAACGTCTATTATTTCTATCTTTTTAGTAATAGGCACTCTGACTGGTGGAAGATTATATCTTGTTGTGGTTTTAATTTGCATTTCTCTTATGATCAGTGATGTTGAACATTTTTTCATATACCTCTTGGCCATTTGTATATCTTCTTCAGAAAAATGTCTACTCATGTCCTTTGCCCAGTTTTTAATGGGATTATTTGTATTTTTGTTGTTGTCGAGTTATTTGGTTTCTTTGTATATTCTGGATATTAGTCCCTTGTTGGATGAATAGTTTGCAGATATTTCCCCTTTTCTGCAGGTTGTGTGTTCTCTCTGTTGATTATTTCTTTTGTTGTGCAGGAGCTCTTTAGTTTAATTAAGTTCCATTTGTCTATTTTTGTTTTTGTTGTCTGTGCTTTTGAGGTCATAGTATACATTCCTTGCCTACGTGAATGTCCGTAAGAGTTTCCCCTAGGTTTTCTTCTAGTATTTTTATAGTTTCTGATCTTGCATTTAAGTCTTTAATACATCTTGAATTGTTTTTTTTTATATGGTGATAGATATGGGTTTAGTTTTATTCTCCTGATTGTGGATGTCTAATTTTTCCAGCACTATTTATTGAAAAGGGT